AAAACATGAGTAACTGCTGAAGACTGTATAAAGTTGATGTGTGTGAATGAACTACTCCAAGGTTCTGGGTTCTGTATCAAGAAAGGCTCTGTGGGGACTGGCAGGTGGAGTAGTGGTTAGGGCACTGGACTCCCACATGGCAAGTGCGGTTCAAGTCCTGGACCTGGTGGCTTGCTTTCTCACTTTACCTCTCTCTCTCTGGTCAAATTTAAAAATAATAAAAAATAAAATTAAATAAGTAACTCAAAAAAAAAAAAAGCTTTAAAAAAGAAAGAAAGGCCTTGTGATAAAGAGACTCATGGGTTCCGGTGAAGGGAGAGGTAAGCAGGGAAAGGTCGGTAAGGCAAGGGGAATGTTGTAACGAGAAAGTTCCAGGTAGACATGCACCTGGCTTACTGCAGGGCCAGTGAATTATCCAAGCTGGCAAGAGGCGCAGGTTCATGGCTGTAGGGTACTGACTGGCCAAGTCAGAGAATCCATTTAGAAATTGGCTTTGCAAGGCTGTATATTTCCTCCTCTCCCTTTTCTAAAGACCTAGCCCACTCGGTATTGTGTATATATTATTTTAAAGGGAACTAAAACAACAATGTCTTGATTTGTTAACAGGCAAAATATCCTAATAACAAAGAAGAAAAAAGAATCATCTAAAGAAAAGACAGACTATGTGGCACTATTCTTTTTTGTGAAATATTTGAAATAATAAGTAGCAAAGGAAATGAAAAATGGCACTCATGTTAACAATGTTAAATCATTCACAGATGATATTACCATATGACTTCAGAAAAAAAATAAGAAAACAAATCAAATTTTGAAAGGATGACTTGTGCTCTATGGCCTTTAAGATGACTGGCTAATATATTTATCTGTATAATTCTTAAATATTTATCTCCCTATGCCAAAAAGTCTAGCTGTACAAGACTGTCCTGATACCAGTTTAAGAATAAGCACTGATGAGTCCCTCCCAACAGCCCATAACTGTGCCTACACGTGGCAAGTGAATGTGGCAAGAATGAATGGTACAATAATATAAACTAGGCTCTCCAAATGTTGTCATTATCCTACAAGGGTCTTCTCTCCACTGATACCACTCATTCCTTCTCCCTTCGGCCCCCTCCAAAGTGAATTCAAGGACCCAGTGAGGCTTGCCTTTTATGTTCTACCTTCAACTAACAAATAGAAACAATTTTATTTATTTATTTTTTTACCAAAATGTGGGGTAGTGTGAACAGAGGGGCAATGCAAACCACCACCCCACAAGCAACACCAATGTGTACCCACAACCCAGGAACAATGACTGTTTCAAAGCATGAGGGCGAAAGCAATATGGCAGCTCAGGAGACACCTGATTCTACTGTGGGCATCCTCCTAACTTTCCAGAATGTTTCTATGCTAAACGTTAGGGTCACAAAAAGCTATCAACAAATATCATTGAAAGAATAACAAATGAATATAACGCACAATGGAGATCAATTGAGTATTTACGAATTGCGGAATGTTTACATTCATCAGTTTTACTTAGATATATATTTGTAGTCTAGGGTCCCAATCTTAATAAATTTAATGTACTAATGAGAGACTGCGGTAATATTTAAAACAAACACAGATATCAGAATGTCTATTCCAATGCCACCAACTGCTAAAAAGTCCCACATTAGTCTATACTTCCCTCTAATATAAACCAACATTAACTTTATTCAAATATCTAAAAATATAACACAGGGAAATGAAATATTATTTATGTTTTTTTTTCCAAAAGTACAGCTCTTTCAAAGTATCAATTCCAGCTTACAAAGGATTAATTAATTGGTGAAAGTAAACATTTTCAGTGTTGACACACTATGGACCCTATTTTGTATTTGACTAGATGTGTGCATTGAAAAACCCAGTTTTGGGACCAGCAGTTAGCATAATGGCTATGTCTCTGGATTCCCATATAGCCGACCGTGGTTCGTGTCCTGGACCCGGTGGCTTAAAACTCACACCAGGCACATGTGCGTGTGTGCCCAAGATCCCGAGAGGAGAATGGAGGAGAAGGGATTGCGGCGTGGCCATCCCCCCCCAGGGGGGTGATTTCTCGCTTTCTGTCTCTCTGTCTCTCTCTGTCTGTCTGGCAAGTGCACGCACCCTATAGCAAAAACCTCTTAAAAAAAAAAAAAGAAAGAAAAACCCAGTTTTTATTATATTACTTAGAGTATAGTAGCACAAAATGACATTTTCCAGACACTCTACTTGCGTAAAAATTGGTTAAACCATCAAGCATACTCTAGAAATCTATGTAACTATTGCTGTGATAACAGTGCCACATGGATCCAGTTTATTCACACTGAGGTAGAAACCTCTATGAACGTATTCATGAACTAATAAAAGAAACACCTAACTACAGTCCTGAGAATGAAAGCACTCCATGGCAGGATGCGTCACTCATTTCTTGCTCTCCCTGAATAATCTGCATCCTTTCACCACACTCCCCACTCTTTCTCAAGATCATCCTTCTCTCCCACCCATTTTTATTTCCCCTTTATTCCAAGCATTTGACTCTTGAACTTGTCGTCAATGTCATCTAAGAAGCTACTATTCCATTCTGATATCCCCTCACAGATTTCTATGAACTTATGTGTGGAGGACATGTTCCTGGATTAGAGCGGCATGAGTGAACAAAGGAAGGGGTCGTGGAGAGCACAGAAGGAGAGTGAGAGGAACTGGGACACCATAGGCTTCAGGTTTACTGTGCCCAAACCTCAAAAATAGTCCCCACTGCACAGGAGCAAGGCAGAACCCACCGTATCCACTAAACCTCTCTGCAGTTAAGAAATATGTCTGCCTACACAAGGTAGCTCATTACAGAAAGCAAGGAAGCAGTCTCAAGTTTCGTAACTGGATAGTCAGAGCCTGGGTGAATACCTCCCCTCCAACCTGCTAGTAAGAGGTCACTTGTGTCCCAGAGCCTACTCCTGCTTCTCAGGCTTGGTCCACGATATATTATTATACATGCCTTCCAAAAGCCTACCAGTGAGCTTTGCATAAAGCATCTGCATGAAATTTTCTAATTCAGGGGCAGGTAGGTGGCATGGTGGTTAAGGTGCTGGACTCCCACAGGGCCGACTGTGGTTTGAGTCCCATATTTGGTGGCTTGCTTTCTTACTTTCCCTTTCTCTCTCTCTCTGGTCAAATGAATAATAATAATAACACATAAAATTAATTAAATAAATACATACATAATTCTTTTTTTAAAAAATGTCCTAATTCATTTGTGGTATTTTTAGGACCAATGTATTTAGGAGGGGGATTAACCATCACAGAACTACCATTACACTCAGTTTTTCTTTCTGAGACTCCAGTGATGGGAAAGCTCTGGGACAGGAAAAAAATGACAGACAAGACTGAGAACTCCTGGGTGTGGCTGTGGCTATGTGGAAATTGGAGGACCTGACAATGTCTAATTTCAGTGTATGCAAAGTGCAATTACTTGCCAAAGAGCATGCTCAGGTTGATGCTCAGTTCTACACAATTGTGTAATCACCCTGATGTGATGTTTAAAGAACCCAAATCACAGAGATGAAGGGAAGAGAACATCTTGCCTAGTTTTGACAGGTACAGTATAAAGTCAGAGTAACAGTACATAGACTTAAAGAAGAAGCACTCCATTAAAAACTGCCTTTTAACAACTTCCAGTTACAACAGTTTATTAAATTTAATAAACAGCTTATTAAATTTAATTTTTGCTTACTTCCTAGTGTCAAATTTGAGATATTTTTAAAAGAACATTTTCTTCTAAGAAATCGTCACAGCATCAATGTCCAAGAATCATTTTACCTCACATAAAAATAATTCCAGAAACACTTGACCCTACACTCTATTCACGCCCTATCACTGTCTCATTTACTCTCACAACCAACGTAAAAACTACAGGCATGTATTTTCATTTCCAGAGAGAGAAGGCAGAGAGTAGCATGGAACTTCCATTTCTTCCCCTGCTGAGATGCAGTGTGATGCTGCAAAAGGACTGGAAATATTTAAATCATCAGACCCTTTCTGAAATCCTTTAAACTGAATTCTTTAATTGCAAAACCTTGTAAATGCTTTGAAGTTAAAAAGAAAGAAGATGAAGAAATAATGGTAAAATGTAAAAAAATACAGTATCACAGTTGCTTTCTTCAGGAAAGCTACATGAACGGACCATTGACTGCTCTGCCTAATAAGCTGCATTAGGTATAGGAAAAGTTCGCTCATTTAAACGGTATATATGCTGCTTCTGGGACAACCTCTAGGTGCTGCTGTAGAAACCCCCTTCCAAAGACTTACTTGGTCCCATGCTTTGGCCTCTCCCTCCCCCTGACAGCACTGCAGTGCGCAAAGACATTACAATCACTTCAAACACATATGCTGCTAATGAAGTCTCGGAATCTAACATTCTTCAAGGTTCAAAGAGCCAAACAATCTTTTACTTTTCAGCCCAAATTATACTATACGGAAATGGGCTATATAAGAGAACACTAGTAGAATCCTGTCGTAAGCAACCGAGAAGCTGAAGAAGCAAAGACAGCTACCATGTCAGCCCTCCCCTCTCCCAACCCTCTCTCTGGACGTAAAATTACTAAACCCTAAAACCAATCCTGTGCATAAAGTAGAACTGTGAGACGAGTTCGGGAGATGTGGGAGCATAGGGTGGGGCGGTTCCTGTAATGAGCTCCGGGCTACCAGGCTCCATCGGATATGTCAGCTCCCACATCCGAGGAGCCGATGAGAGCTGATGGAAGCTCAGAGGAAACCCAGCGCCGGGGGTGGGGGAGGCCTTAACGTTCGGATCAGATTAACCAGTGAGCGACCGCGGTGCTCGCGCCCTGGCACCTCCGCTGATCCGCAGCGTAACAGCCACAGGGTGCAGGCGGGTACAGGGCAAGGGCCCGGGCGCTCGGAGACGTGGGTGGCTCTGCTCCGAGCGGGTCGAGCAAGGCAGCGGCCCGCAGAACCCGGGAGGATGTGGAAGCCAGTGCCTTTACCTGCGATGGACCAGGTCCAGCGGTAGAACTCCACGGTGTCGTTGAGCGCCGTGGACACAACGTTGAGAACACTGCCAGGCTCCGAGTCCAGGATCCCCATCGCGGCGACAACCGGGAGCTGGCAGCAGCTGCAGGAGAGAGCAAAGACCCCGCAGAAGGATTGACCTCAGTAAGCGACGCGCCGAGAGGATGAGCGGCAGCGGAGGACTCTACCC